TCTCTAAGTATATGTGGATGACCAGAGAACATGTAGAGAGGCAGAAAGTTAACATTAATGTTGATTTGATCGAGAAAATAAGTAAAACAAGAGTGGTGGCCAGGTGAGGTTTGTTTGGGGTGGGGCTCACCTGTCTCCTTGATGGGTTTTAATTAATTGTTTTTTTCCGAGGTTAATACTTATTCTGTATTTTATGAAGGGCTTTTGATCCAGGGAATTTGAGTTATGCTTCATTTCCTTGATCAAACTCGATTAATCCTCCCACTCAGTAGGCACATTATGGCACCTACGGGTTTAGCACTTTCCCGTAAGTTTGTTCAGGTACAGTTACACAATATTTGGATAATTACATTTGTTTTACATAATATATGTTTAAATTACTAGGATAACCACTCCAAAATAGTGAGTTAGTTCCATTGTTCTTAAGACTTGAGCAGTTTATTTCCACATTATAGATCACTTGTATAAAATTTATGCCCTTACAGTGTTTAAAGCCTTCCATTTCTTAATCTGATTATTATAATAATTAAAAATCAAATGTCAATCATTACAAATGAAATCCTTCAAGAACCTTAACTTTTGCTTAGATCTAAATTTAGGTCCTGCAAGTAAGTTCGATAATGGGGGGGTCAAAATCTTAGGAATGGAATCGACTCCTCAAGTAAGGTTCCCTTGTTATTTGGTTAGCGGCTTCTTGATCTACGGAACTGGATCTGTGCTCCAGCTCCATGAATTAACCCTGAATGCCTTCCATTCCCCCCCCCCCCAGGTGCTGTATAATCCTACGGTTTAGTGCATCCCCCTTGATTATTGTAATAATAATTAGGTACAGGTACATGTAAGTACAATTATACATAGAAATAAATGGTATAAAATACCGACACAATGGAAATATAAACACATATGCAGTATAATGTGATCCTTTATTGACTACGTTTCGCCCTCACAGTGGGCTTTTTCAAGTCACAAACAGAACTGTTTATGACTTGAAAAAGCCCACTGTGAGGGCGAAACGTAGTCAATAAAGGATCACATTATACTGCATATGTGTTTATATTTCCACAATTATACATAGTTGAATATGTGTAAATTACCCTCCAAGATAACCCAAAAATAATCAGTGACTTGTATCAGTTGTAAGACAGTGGTGATTTTTACAGTGAAAGATCCAGATTCTTGTATAATCCTACGGGTTTAGCGCTTCCCCCTTGATTATAATAATAATAATAATAATAATAATAATAAATATACAGTAATAAGAATATAGTTTACATGTAATAAAACATTGTCAGGCACAAAAAAAAAAATAATATGCAATGCATTTCAGAGAAACTAGTCCTAATGGGGTTAAAGACCCCAGTGGAAATAAGTCACTTTGACTTTTTTTTGGGTTATGCTAGGTAATTTATACTGTGTGTGATAATTATACTTGTGTACCTGTACCTAAATATATTTCCTCACATAATAGGGAATATTTGGAATCCTCTGGCAGAAAGTTTCAAATTTTTGGATCATTTATGCATATTGAGTTGTTTTTTGCTCAGGTTGTCATACACAAGTAAGCTTCCCTTTTATTACAAGTACAGTTGTACCTTGAGTTACAAACGTAGTTCGTTCCAGAAGGCTGTTCAAGTGCCGATACCGAACGAATTTGTTCCCATGAGGAATAATGTAAATTAGATTAGTCCGTTTCAGACTCCCCCCCCACTTACAAAAGCACTTACAAAAATACACTTACATAATTGAGTTGGGAGCTGTTCGAAACTCGGGGTACCACTGTACTTCTAAACCATGAATTATTATATAAATACAGTTACATAACATTACCTATTTTTTTTATTATATTTTATAGTATAACCCTAAAAAGGTAGTGACTTGTTTCCATTTAAACTAGATGCTGTATGATGAATATTCTAGCTTAAAAGCACATTAACACTTTTTCACTAACTTTATTTTCAGTTTTTTTTACATTATGGTTCGTTACCATGCCTGTGTTCAACGTGTCTGCCTCACTTGCTGAATTCAACCAAAGGTACGGGGTCAAGCCAGAGTTCAACGACTACACGCCCTTTTATGTTACAATCACCATTTGCACAATTGTTGGTGTGATATTGATTTTGGTGAGTATTGTGTAAATTATTAGTATTTTCCATTAAAGGACATAAGTGTAAATTTTCTTCTAAGTATTTTGTGTATTGATACTTGTATTGTTGAATTACATCTAGACAGATACCTTGCTGAATACACAACTTGCATTTTCACAACAAGAGAGGTTTTTAAAAGTATTTTACTGCTGTATATTTAAAAAATTTGTTTAAACCTTACTCATGCTAGTAGTAGTTTACTAGTAGTAGTTTTTACTAGTAGTAGTTTTTACTAATAGTAGTTTTTACTAGTACAGTAGTTACTGTATAGTATTACTTAGCACTTAGTGGTCTGGGAGGAGTTGGTGACAGTTTAGAGATAGCTGCACAGATCACAGAACGGGTGGGGCTCAAATCCATGGCACACAAGTCTTCAAACTTGCTGGCCAGTGTAGCCTGCAAATTTTAGGACTCGCCTGCCATGGGTTCAATCCCCACCCATTCTGTGATTTGTTTTGGAGTCGTGTTATTATAATTTTGAGAGTGATCATATTGTGGGGAAGTGCTACAAAGGCTTAAATTTCATTACTCTTATTTTAATATTCAGGTCACTTTCACATGTTGAAAGTAATGAGGCAGTTTGATATCACCAGTTAAAAAAGAAGATAAAAGGGAGTATGATCTGAGACTGGGCTGTATGTGTGGTAAATCCTGGAACTGTTAGTAAATAATGGATGCCTTCAAGGTAGATGTGGTTGTTAGTTATGGAGTATAAATAAACTGAAATTTCTCACTCATGAATTTAACATTATTAGGAGGGAGGAATCAGACATGGTAACTGCTAACCTATGGGTGTGAGGTGAGCTTTTTACCCCCTTTGCCATTGACTTTTGAGAGAACTCCAGCAAAAATGTATACAGAGTGTTATGATTGTGATAAGACTCCACTGTTGCCCCAGACTGTTTACCCTACATTCCTGCCAGTACAAATTGAAATTCTTACTCATGTAATTTCAGTTTGTATCAACAAGTAAGCTTTTCTCATATTAAGAGTAATAAAATTCTTTGAGATTTTTCTGTGGAGTTACATTGATAGAGGTTGATGATAAGGTAAATTGATGGAGCATGTGTAATGTGAGAGGTTCTTGAAGGAAAATTCTATGTCTCTTTAAGGAATTGGAGCTTTCTTCCTTTTCTTGGATTAAACCTGATCAAGTTATATTCCCCAAGTAGATGTGACCAGTAGGTTTAGCCCTTCCATGTAATAATACATATCTTTAAAGAGATCTTGATATGTTGTTACTGGCATATGTAATGTAAAACAGGGAGTATGGAATAGCCTACAAGTAAATAAGATTATATTAATAGGTAAATACTATGGCTTAACACACTTACTTTTGACAGGTAAACTGGATATGCAGTTGCTGCCACGAACATTCTAAATACTGGAGTGACCCTGATACTGGTAATCGCTTTGCATCCCTTATCTTTATTCGCAAGACAAAACAGCGACCAATGGATGCTATCTATTAACTTTCTCTTTTGTGTTTTAGAGATCGTTGTGGAAGTATTTATTAGTTACCATTTCAAAAACTAGCAGTTTATCAGATATTTTCTCATACTTTAATACTGTGTTATACTGTTTCTCATTGGTATAGAATTAAGTTTAAATTTTATATAGCGGTTATGAATTGACATTGTCACATACAGAAATGGCTGTTCATGCTGCTTGGCCTCCACTGGCATGCTTGGCAATGTTTGTGATGATTGTGGCTTTTATAATTATAAAGTATGGCGACGTTCTCTGCCTTGCACGATCAGTACCTAAACCTCAGTACTTTGAAAGAGACGATGCATCCTCAGAAAACACCATGTCCTGCATGTATGATGAGAAGGACAGTGTTAGAGAACATATAGATGTTATAGAGATTCCTGAGATACGTCATGAACCAGACAAAGAGAAGAAATATGAGTACTCGGTTTAACTGGCAGCGTAGAGGAGGACATTTTGGTTTAAAATTTCAGGTGGTTGGTGTTTTAAAACAATTGTACAAAATGTAAAGAGGAGCAATAATCTTTATTTTTAGCCATCTGTTGTACCATGCAAAGTACATGTACTTAATAAAATAGTGTCAGTGTAAGTGTTTACATCAGAGATGTAATTGAAACCAAGACCAAACATACTAAGGTGAGGATTGAGACAAATATATTTTTGAGACTAACCATATAAACTAAATTTGTGTTGGAAGAGCAAAAACAATAACATCTGTTTATTTCTCGAATGCCATTTTTCTTTTACTGAATAAAAATCACAAAACCTTAGTGTATGTTTAGTTGGCATTAGAATATTTTTGTTTGATAAAGGTGTGATAAATTCTTATTTGCTGGGAAAGGAAATGTGGCTTATTTTTACCAGTGTTGACATTGATGACAGGTAGTGGTAGGTCTAGGTGATGGTGGTGGTAGCTGATACTGCATGCCATGCTTGTACAGGTAGTAGTACAGGGCCACATCACTCCTCTCCACACATTAGCATATCAGCAAATAACAGCAACTGTTGGTACACTTTAGTAAGGAAATGTGGCCTTTGTGTTGGCAGGTGGTAGCAGGTACTCTGTCATGTGTTTGTACAAGTTAATTTGTACTCTACTCTAATTTGTATATACTTTGAATGCTGCTATGCTGTATAAAAGTGTGTGAGTTATGAAGGACAGAAAAGGGATATGTAATAATTATGGAAATAATATACTTTTACATATTCTTACAAACAGTCGGCGTGCTAACTTATATAAACACCAAGACTAAGATCCAGCATGTTGAGGCTGTGATCATAACTGACATAAGACTATCAGTGACATCAAAATTGCAAGATGTGACTGTGAGGTTCCATCTCTGGTATATGCACATCTCTGTTACTTAACCGTTGGACTGCCTTGTGAGACTGCCTGACCAAGAGGTAGAGCTCTCTCTTTTCCCCTCCATCTCGTGTAGATAATTACATATGTATAAACACACTACTCATTAAGAGCTTTCATAGTGGCAATGCAAGAAGGTGAACCAAAAGGAGGTAGCAAGTGCTGCAGCTAAAAAAAAAAAAAAAAAATTAAACATGGAAAATGTGGCACCATGAGCATAGCTCTGTTGTGAGATATTACAAAAATATATACTATACAATATTGCTGTGTTCTGGCAATACAAGAATTAAACCCCATGGGTGAAAATCATGCTGCTTTTCTTCTGTGGCAAATGACATAAATAAGATGACTTTGTTGCTCAAAAGGTATAACTATGAGTTTTGTCAGGATATACCACAGGGGCCTAAATATAACTATTGATTACATAATCTGTTATATGCTTATATAAGAAATTTGTTACACATTGAAAAAAACTAGTGCTTATTTGATTTCATAATCCTCCTAGCAGAAATCTCCAGTCAAATCCTAGTTCTTGGAAAATGAGCACTGACCTTAATGCTTGTACTTACTTAAGTTATAATTTTTTTTCTACTAAATCCCCCCCAATCAATATTTTGATGGTAATTTAAATCAGATATCTCATACTATTTGGACTAATTATTAATCTCGGGGTTTGTTCCCCTTGAAGGCAAAAATGGAGTTGCTGCAGCCTGATTAAAACATCTTTGACCAAATATTATGCAGCTCTTGTGTAATGATCTTTGGTAGGCTGGTTAGAGAGTGACTGAGGATTTGAAGGATTGAGGATTGGAAGTAGTAGTTTTGGAGCTTTTGTATTTGACATATCTTTTTTTATAATGCTAGAATTTTTTTATTTTTCTGGTAACATGTCAAAAAATATTGTAGGTTGTCATTGTGATCGAACATGGTGTGCAATAGAATAACCTTGTGTTATATTCTTAAATTCGCATGATTCATTTTCATTGTTTCTCCATTTTTAAAGTAGCCAACCTCGCTTCTAACATATGATAATGATAACTTTTAAGAGATGCATTAAAATTACAATAGCAGGTTGTGTATATATTGGTTATACGTAACTGCTTCACTTTCACTGAAGTTGAAAATTATTACCTTGTATTGCACCTTCTGCTTCATCTATCACTAAATCATGATTATTCAAGTTTGCATCAGAAAGTTTTTTTTTTTTTTTCAACCTTTGATCTGTTATACTAGTATTTGATGCAGCTGACTGTATTCATTCAACTCATCATATCTTATATACATTAGTTACATTTTCTTTATATAACATGTTAACCACTATAAATTTTATATATAATCCTTCATAGAGATCCAATTGTTTTTTCCTTGAATTATTATTTCTTGCTCTAAGTTTTTCATTTTTTTTTTAACACCGCCACCTCCCACCAAGGTAGGGTGGCTTGAAAAAAGAAAAACTTTACCATTACTCATTCAGTCACTGTTTTGCCAGAAGTATGCTAACGTAATAGCTCAGACGGTCCTCTGAACTGCCACATCCCCCACCCCTACTTAAGAGTACAGGCACTGTACTTCCACCACCAGGATTCATGTTTGGGTAACAAAGTTTTCCTGAATTCCTTCACACTCAGCTGTACATGTCAAGCCATGTTAAATGTAGTTTTTAACTTTCTTGGGCTCTAGTACTTAACCAATTTTTGTCTCAGGCAAACCAATTTTTGTCTCAGGCAAGGTAAACTGCCACGAATATTGGGGGTTTGAACTTGACTTTGCTCCTTAAAGATAAAGTAGCACCACCACTGAGTTGAAACTCCTTCAGACATTCATTTCAGACAGTTTTTGTACAGTCACAAGCTCATTAGTTAGGTTTTTAATCACTGTACAAGGCTACTCTATATTATTTCTTTCTCATTTTTAGTTTAATAAGAAGCTTATCTTGTGTGTGTAAACTTTTTTAATTAAGCAATAAGGAAAATATTTCTTGTGCTGATGTAGGAAGAAATAATAATGCACAAAAATTGCAATATTTTCCGTCCATGTTAAAGTTGTGAATGTGGGTTCCTTTAGAAAAGTGTTACATAGGTCTGTGAACCAAGTTGATAGAAATCTCTATTAATCATGATTATACACTTTACTGCAGTTTTAATATAAGTTACCATAAAGTTGCATGCCTGTACTTAATTTTGGAATGCCACTTAATGATTTAATAATTTTTAAATTGCAAAAACCATGTAGCAGATGCAACAACTGTAAGATTTGGTGTTAATCTTAACTAATTTAGCATGTAAACAGTATAAGGTGGAGGTTGCAGTTTTCAGGCAGCTAAAATAGGTTAGTTCCTGCAATAAATTTTTTAAGGTGCAGCATATTGTAATGCATGCAGTTATTTTGTACTTTTATTATGTAATATTAGATCACATATTACTTTTGCTGTAACATGTAGTTTTAATAAAGTACTTAATACTTAAAGTGAGGTATTACAGGTTACTACCTTGTATAAAATTTTTTAATACATGTACTTCAGAAATTTCTTATTTTTCTCAAACTGGCCTGATCCCTGATCCAAATTCATTTGTTTTGTGTTAAACCATATTGGGTATAATTAGTTGTAATAGTTTGTAGCACAAGTGTTTTAGAAATTTGCTGTATAACTAGTACATTATAATCCGTATTTGGAATTCTGTCAGTTGGCATACTTCTGAATTTGGAATTTAAAATTTGAAGTAGATCAGTTAGCAAAAATTTCAGAGCTCAATTTACATTTTTGAGAGACCAGCCATTTTTCAAAATTTAAGAGAGCACTTTCTAAGGTATTTTATTCAGAATGCTCTTTGCACTGCAGATTTTTCAAAATAAAGAAAATTGTGTTTTTTTTATTTTGTTTTTAAATGTTTACGTTTTTTAATACGCCAGAATACTTTCAAAAAATAATGTACGATGTTAAAAAAAAATTCTGAATTTTTTACCAATTATGAGAAAGTTGCATTTGTGGGAAATAGGAATTTTCTAATATTAAAATGTATTCGTACACCTTTCCTTACTGAACGAGGAGTTCCGTTCCTAGGACCATGTCATTAAATGAATTCATCGCTAAGTGAGGAGTATATGTATATAATGGTAAGAGTTTGTTCAACCATCTTAAAAATTGTTTTATTGTCACCTTTGCAACCATATATAACATTTTTTGGTATATTTTTAAATGTTTATACAATAGTGTTCTGTATATTGAAATAAACAGAATAGAGGAAATTGGCTCTAATATACATATTTAGGTATGAATACTGGTCAGAGAGCCTGTCATAAGTCTGAGGCATCGGGAAACGAGTACGTCGCTAAATGAGAAGAGGCTGTACTTGTATACATTTTGAATACTATATAGTATTGAAAAGGTGAAGGCATATTGTATTCATAATAATGCCTGAGAAACCATGTAGCTTATCAAGTAGTTTATGTAGTATGTAATTTACATTTTTTTACTTTTCATATTTTGTTTATTATAGTTTTGTTTTTTATTGAAATACATTTGTCTTGGTGGCTTGATTAAAACTTATTCTTTAGTAAATTAAGGGAAAAAAAAACATATATGGGATGAGCTTAAACTAGTAAAGGTTTGGGCCCTCACTTACCGACAATCAGTATTTTGTTCCTTTATAAACCCACTAAATTTTGGCTGGTAATTTCAAATTTCCGGGGGCCCCCACCAACCAGCAATCTATTTGGTGGCGCTACTTGCTTTCATAAGTTATTCCCAAATTTTTTTTTCTCCTTTTTGTTGTAACCCTGCTACTTTTAG